CATAACCATAACCATAACCATAACCATAACCATAACCATAACCATAACCATAACCATAACCCTTAAAGACAAGAACGAAACAAAACAGCCCATTAGGCTCTGTGTCTCCCTCTTTTTTTTTGGTTTGGTTTTTCAAGACAGGGTAGACCAGGCTAGCCTCGAACTTTCGAACTCAGAAATCCGCCTGCCTCTGCCTCCCAAGTGCTGGGATTAAAGGCGTGCGCCACCACTGCCCGGCTGCTCTGTGTCTCTTACCCCCTTCTGCCCTGGTGTTCAGGCCTTCTGATCTGTATCCCCAGGGAATCTTGAAATTGTATAATTTTTGTCTTTTTCATGATGATTAGCATAGCTGTCTTTTCTTCCTCCTTCTTCCTTCCTCTTCCTTCATTATTTATTTATTTATTTATTTATTTATTTATTTATTTATTTATTTGAGACAGAGTTTCTCTGTGTAGCCCTGGCTGTCCTGGAACTCACCCTGTAGAATAGGCTGGGCTCGAACTCAGAGATCCTCCTGAGTGCTGAGATCAAAGGCCCACCACTGTTGGGCAAAATTTTCACCTTTCTTTTTTCTTAGACTGATACCATAATATTAAAGCTGTTAGAAGCATCTATGTTAACTCCAAATTTGAAATGCTAGCAAACAAATGTATTTCACTTTTTCCCTTTTATGTAGCCCTGACTGGCCTTGAACTTAGAGACCAGCCTGCCCCTGGCTTCTGAGTGCTGGGATTAGCTGTATGGGCCACCAAGCCTGGGTAAACCTAGTTGACTTGTGAGAATGATCATGAAGGCAGAGCACTCCCATCCCTCTAACCCAAGCGATTTCCATCTGTGTTTGGAAATGTCCTAATGTGTCTTTCCATAGTTTTATTTTGAACTATGCTTTCCCTCATGTTTTCTCATAGTTATGAGGTAGTGAGGCTTTTTCTCTCTCTTTTTGTTAAGTGAACCTGCTTCTTCTTCTCTAACTCAGTGGGTCCAGATTGGGGCATGCCCACCACCATGATGTTCGGGTGGTCCAGCATCATGTCAGAACACTTCACCACAAGGAGGCTGTGTGTGCTCTGAAATGGTCACCTGATGGCAGGCTGCTTTCCAGTGGGTGCAATGATGGATTACTGGCAATATGGCCCCACGATCCAGGGGCCAGTGTGCAGGGCCTGCCCCTGAAAGTCATACCTCAGTCCATGGCAGTTAAGGTGAGAAATCTGATCGGTGCCTAGGTTTGCTTTTGGCAAGAGACCAGAGGCTATTTCAGACAAAAGAGAAAATCAGCTAGACCTGGTGGTACAGGCTAGCCACTTGGGAGGCTGAGGTAGGAGGATTGGAAGTTTGTGTCTGCCTTTGTTACAGAGTAGATTCAAGGCCAACATGGGCAATTTAGTGAGACCCTGTCTCAAAATAAAAAGTAAAATCAGAGCTAGGACTGTTTCATTGTGGTATATTTGTCTAGCATACACAATGCTCCAGGTTCAATTCTCTGGACACACACACACACACACACACACACCAACAAAACAAACAACAATAAAACACAGAGTAAAGAAGACTGCGTTCCCTTACTATGGAGCAAGCAGGCAATACCTCAGAAGACACATGGGGTTTAGAGCACTTGTTGCTCTTTCAAGTGACATGGGTTCAGGTTCCAGAACCCACAAGGTTCTCTCATAAATCACCTGTAACTCTCCTTCCCCAGAATCTAGTACTTTTTGTGACCTCTACAGCACCAGACACATATACACATACATGCAGGTACAACATTCATACATGTAAAATAAAATAAATAAATCTTACAAGATGAGAAAGTGGATGCAAACGTGTCAAAAAAGCTGTAAGTATGGGTAGTTAGAAGGAAGCCTCATTACAAGAACAGCATTAGAGAATCACAGCATCAGGACAGCTCATCTGGGCCTAGGAGAAACACAAGGTAAGCCACATGATTTATCACATACAGTTATCTCACAGTTACATTTCAGTATGTATGAAGTACCATGTTAAATTTCAAATAGCCAGGATATAATAGTATGCTTCTTGGTGCTGGTGCTTTAAAAATTTTAACTGTATGAAAAACTGTTATACCCACAGTTTTGAAATTTGGAATTTATCTAAAGATATTTGTTAGAAACAAAAGATGCATTGTGTGTGTGTGTGACAGCAAATGCTAGATGAAACATAAAGCAAACAAAAAATTCACTTCTCTTTAAAAATGTCAACTAACCCTATACAAACCAAACCAAAAAAATGGGGGGGGGTTCAGTATTAGGACATCAGAGCCCAATGGAGTGTAATGGGATTAGTAAAAATGATAGCACAGGGGCCTGCAGAGATGGCTGACATCTATAGAGAAGCAAAGAGAGCTTCCTGCTCTTACAGAGGAGCTGCAACACAGCTCACAAGTCCTGTGACTTCAGTCCGAGGAGATCCAACATTTTCTCCTTCCAACCTTCTCAGGTGCACAAACAGTCATACCCATGTACACAGAAATCAGTGTAAACCCAGTATTTTCTACTCTGTAAAGTACTTTTATGAACAGAAAATAATACGCAAAAGTGAGATTAGGAACTTGGATGATCAACAAGATTTACAGAGGAATGTTACTGAGCTAGTTCTAAAAGTCTTCTTCAGAAGTTACAAGTCAAGCCAGGCAGTGGTGGTGCACGCCTTTAATCCTAGCACTTGGGAGGCAGAGGCAGGAGGATTTCTGAGTTCGAGGCCAGCCTGGTCTACAGAGTGAGTTCCAGGACAGCCAGAGCTACACAGAGAAACCCTGTCTCAAAAACAAAAACAAAAACAAAAACAAGAACAAAAAAAACAAAACAAAAAAACAAACAAAAACAAAAAACAAAAAAACCCAGAAGTTACTAGTTATCTCCATTATCAGTACAGTTATGAGATACTAATTCTGATTTTTCAGTTAAGTAGAATTATTTGTAAATAAATTGATCTTCTGAAGTGTTTTAGGATTTGAGATGCCTGAGATTTGAACTGACCAGTAGCTGTGTGCAGCTCTCTTTTACCTACCCCTGTCTGGACAACAAGGACTCTGGTAGATAAGCAGAGGCTGTACTTCAGCACAGACCTCAGAAGAGCCTGAGTCTGTCCTGCCACAGTGTTCTGAGGCATACGGTTTTTCAATTGTTGTTTTGTAGGTTTTTTTTTCCCTCTGCTAAAAATACTGACAATTGTTAGCATAATGTAAGGAAATATTCTATTAGGCATCTCCCCTTTCAGCAGTAGCTTCTTGCTCCTGGAGAATACTTTCTGGAGGGTACACTGGCCCTCACCTGGCAGAGTGCTGAGGCTTTGGCTACCTGTGCACATCGTTGCTTGCTCCAGGGCTCGCCTGCCTGTGTTATTATTTGGAACTTTATAGGCCGTGGAGTGGTGTCCCTGGCAATCTGAGGTCCTTGCCATTAGAGGAGGCGTGAAGGACAGGTGCTTACATGTTTTAGATGTAAATGCTGGGGGAAGAGCATTCGGACTCCGAGCACACACTCACAGGCAAGCATCTGGAGTTAGTCTTCACCCCAAATCTAGACTCTTATGAAGACAACTATGAAGAACGTAGGATCCGACCCTTGCTTACTTTCTGAGCCCAAAAGGAATTCCAGTTCTTATGAATGTGCTTTTCTACAATCTCTTAATTAGTGAGTCCAAAGTTAATCCCATTTGTATTTCCCCTCCCCCTCCCATCTTCCCTCCATCTCTTCCTTCTCAGCTTTCTCACCACAGTTTGACTCTGAAACTGGTATGTAGTCTGGCTATCCCTGGCCAGTAATCACAATTCATTTAAATTTCCTGGTTCCTTACACTGGAGCCTTGATCTTCGGATACCTTGGGATAAACTCCCTTAGGATGGATATAATTTCTAAAAATACCCAATCCTTGCTGAGGCTGGAGGATAGGCGAACAGAGCAGAATATAGATTAGAGTCAATTTAGGCACATCCACCATGCACCGGAGGCTGCTAGCATTTGGTGTTTTGTGGTCTTCACTACAGATGTGTTCCCTCATCTGGCTACCTAAGACAAAGGAGATTGCAACTGGCCAAGGTGCTCCCAAGAATGACATGGCTCTGTGGGCCTGCCCCACGCTGTTCAGGTCCGCTGGGTTCTTCGGTGAGTGAATACCACGTACCTATCCATGGCAAAGTGTGCTGCCACCAAATGGGAAAGCTCTGGTGAGAGACTGGTTCTTTGATTTTTAACATCAATAGAGAACCCACCTCGACCTCAGAGTGTAGAGATAAATGTTTCTAAATTTGAACGTACTTGTCTATCTCTTAAAAGTGTCCAGGTTTCTCTTCCTCGAATGTACGTGTATGCTTTAGGCAGCGGCAATCTTGGGCAGTTTTTCCAGATTTAGCATCATAAGTTATTTGGAAGAGAATCTAGCAGTGTGAAGACAAGGAGAGCCGGAAGGTGAAACAGTGCTATGAAGCCACCGAGAAGCAGGAGGCACCTTTGGAAAGCTGAAAATTCTGTTTGGCAACCCACACCCATTCCCCATCAGATAGACTTTCTGGCTCTGTTGAAGATGCATCTCTAGTTGGCTTCATGGCACACTGCTTCTCCCTCCTCCCTTCCTCCTCCCTCCCTCCCCGTCCCTTTGTTTCCCCCCCCCCCATCCCTCCGTCCTTCCTTCTTTTCTGTAGTTGTTGCTGGGGATCAGACCCTGGGCTTGTGTTCTGTCACAGAGCCATACCCCAAAAAGCCAGACTGCTATTCTCTCTTAATTTAGTTCTACAAACTTTTATTGGGGTTTTTCCTGACACAACGATTCATGATGAGGAAGGAGAACCCACTCCTGTCCTCAGAGTCTTACTTCTGGAATGATAAAGGAGTTGGTTCTGTCCTGCCCTGCCCTGGAGATAAGATGGACATGCTGGCTGAAGCTGACAAGGGAGCTTATCAGGGGGACCAGTCTCACACCTTGTGCTTTTGATAATGTATTTCTGTTTCCCACCCTCCACTCGGCCCTGCCTTCAGATTGATCCCTGGAGTTTATGTGGTCACCCTTTATTTTTAAGCATCTTTTATATATCATGTTTATGGGGATGTAGGGAATACATAGGTGACGTCGTTTCCCTTGAAGCCTATACTTTTGTGTGGAGACATATGGAAATCTAGTATGTATAAAGCTAGGTAGAGCTAATACCAATGACTCTTTTTGGGGTTTCTCCCACCCATAGTTTCCCATTATATAGCCTTCCTGTCTGTGATGTGGTTCCAGACAGCCCCAGAACACATTCTGTTCCTCAGTGATCACACTGTTTTCTCATCTGTAAGGACCAGGGGACCAATATGTTCATGTTCATTCTCTCCATGCTATCCTGGGGGATGGACTGTCTCTGCTGGGCAAACACTCTACCATCAAGCCACATTTTGAGCCACTCAGACAACTCCTTTTAAAAAATAACTTTTATTGAGTTTATCCCTTAACAGTTTCATACATGTATACATATATAAAACGTATCTGATTATGGCAGCCGTAACCATCTCTAAATTCCCTCTCACTGTGACTATCTATCCCGGCTTCTCTCCCACTTCCTTTTCACATTCATGTTGTATGTATGCATATGTGTGTGTTTGTAAAGATATTTATTTATTTAAGTTTTAAGGTAGCGCTCTGTGTACCTCTGGCTATCCCGGAACTCACAGAGATCTGCCTCTTGAGTGCTGGGATTAAAGGTGTGCTCCCCACCAACTGGGGTGGTTCATTTATTTATTTTTATTTTATGTGCAAGAGTGTTTTGCTTGCATGTATGTAGATGTATCATGTACATGCCCCTGGAAATCAGAAGAGCGTGTCAGATCCCCTGGAACTAGAGCTAAGGATGTTTGTGATCTGCCGTGTGGATGCTGGAAACTGAACTCAGGTACCTCTGGAAGAGCAGCCAGTGCTCAGGAAGCCATTGCTCCAGTCCCACATTACTGTCTTTTTGTTTTAAGACTCACTGTGTTTAGCCAGGATTGTTTATGTGGAGATTGGTTTGGAAGTACTCCTTGGAGACTGGTGGGCCCCTTGGTGGGTGCACAGTTGAAGACAATGACTACCCCAGAATCCATTAATAGCCAATAGTTCAGAGGGGAAGGCTGGGTTTTAGAAGCATCTGCCGCATCCATGACTGACTATTGATGGTTTGGTGTTGCACAGGCTTGTTGCAAGCTCTCATGGCTGCTATGGTGCCAGGACTATTTTTGGTGAACTGTGCTCAGATGTTAGCATTTCACAGACCTTCTGCCTTCTTCTGGCTCTTATGATCTCCGCACATTGTCAGCTCCTTGCTGCCAGGTCCAGGCGAGATGAGAGCAGTCCGGTCCAGCGGGTTGCTGTCTCTGAGGCTGAGCAGGATGGAGAGTGTCGAAGGCCCAAAAGAAACACACCAGGCCGGAAGTCTTGTCAAAGCAGGAACTTAACTTTAATGTATCAGCCTCTCGCTTATATAAACTCGGAGCATAGGGAGGAGGAGTTTTGGTGGGGTGAGATGATGCTGGGGGAGGGGAAGGGTGACTGAAGGTATTGGGTGACTGACAGGGCCACAGCTCTACATCAACAACAGCGGGGCAGAGGCAGGGCCAAACGGGTCTTGTTGAGTCACCCCGGTATGGAAGTGACTGACACAGGCCTCAAAACTTGAGCCAGGCTCACGTTTGTTCACAAAGCCCAAACCGGGGCCGAAATGAGGCCCAACCGATCCTTTTATTTTTTAATTGCCTTACAAAGTTGTCAGTCTTCGCCAGACTTTCCCATACGTCCTTAGTTTCAGTTACCCGCTCCCTTAGCTTCTCTCATCCCTTATCCCTCCTCAACATTTCCATCTCGGATTCCCTGTCTCTGATTTTTACATCTCTCAAGTTTTGCCATCCTCCTGCCTTAAGGCTTCTCCCACCAAGGCTGTCTCCTAGTTTCTTCTATCTGTACACCAGAAAAAACAAACGCCTAAGTCAGAAGATTTGAAATGAATATCAGCATGTGAGGGGACATGTAGCACTTGCCTTTCTGAGCTGTCCCAGGCTACTCTTGACAGAACCACTTTGTTGGTATGGGAGGAGCATGAATTGATTCTTTCCGTATTTTCAATCCTAAACACAGAATTCCCCAAGGTGTTTCAGATTAGAGAAATAAAGAAATATTTTATAAGCCATAAAACCCAAATCTACCTCTCTTTCTCTCTCTTGTTCTTTCTCTCTCTCTCTCTGTCTCTCTCTCTCTCTCTCTCTCTCTCTCATTCACTCTCTGGCTTTTTCAAGATAGTGTTTCTCTGTGTAACCCTGGCTGTCCTGGAACTCACTCTGTAGACCAGGCTGGCTTCCCACTCTTTAAAATACTACATATCTAGTAGCTAGGTAGGTCCTAGGCAGAATCATGAGATAGATGCTCAGATATTACTGTATATGCTTGGAATAAAAACCAACCAACCAAACAAATAGATAAACTTAGTCTTGCTGGGCAGGATGGTGCCTACTTGTAACCCCAGAATTTGACAAGCAGAGCAGAGGGATCATAAATTTCAGGCTAACCTAGGATACAGCACAAGTGTAGAGTCAGCTGGGCTTCACAGTGAGACCCTATCACAAGCAGTAAATAATCAACAAAGGCTAGAGGCCCATTTCTTGTTTCTTGGGCCTTAAGCTGTAAGTACTTCAGTTTTAAACCTGCGTGACTTTTTTCTTTTCTGTCTTTAGAATGAGTCCAAAGAGTCCTTGTAACATTTACCCTCCTAAAGTTGTGGCTATTTTTGAGTTCCCAGATACTAATTTTCATCACTGACCTGGCAGTTCCTTTGCTACACAGTATTTCCTGCAGGTTGGTTGTTATACAGAACATAATGGTGTGTCCAGATACAATTGGAGTTCTGGGTTAAACAAGAATAGTTTTGCCCCCTCCTAAGGACTTCTTAAAGGTTTGGGTGCCTCCTGTCTGTTGTGAACCCCTGAGAGGACATGGGTGTGGTGTTCAGTGTCTCCCCGAGCTACCTGGAAATTCTTGTAGAGAGCATCCTGGGGTGCCTGAGAAGCCTGTGACCCTGGCTTCTTTGCTGTGCAATTTCTACTTGTTTTCACTGTGAGACCCACACCCCAGTTCTCCAATAACAATTTCAGGCATAATACTATTAAGTCCAGGCCATAAGCTAGGCTGGTTCCCCAACTCACTCTTATTATCCCATTTATTCTAACCTGAATTCAGCTACATGGCTGTTTTCCTCTCCTCAGCTTGTCTGTCCCCTTCTCTTTTCCAACCAGAAGCCTCGCCTTCTAATCCTGCCTCAGCTTATAGGCCATTCGATTGTTATTGACAGGTGATGTTTCCGGAGAGTACTTGGGAGATTATCCCTACAGAGTCCTTGTTCTCTTTGTGCATCAAGGACAAGTCTTTTAGCACACACTCTTGTGACTGAGTTCTGGGTTAGGGTGTTTTAGAAGTGAGGTCATGAAGCACTGGGCCATGAGTCAAGACCAGCACTAGAACTCAGAAATAGCCAGGAGGGGAGGCATGTGGTCCCAGCATTCAGGAGATGGAAGAGATGGAGGCAAGAAGATCAGGAGTCCAAGGCTAGCCTCAGCTAGAAAAAAAGTTCCAGGCAAGCCTGGGTTACATAAGAGTCTGTCTCAAAACACTAAAGCCAACCAACCAACAACCAATCAACCAACCAACCAACCAACCAACCAACCAACCAACCAAATGAACAAAAACCAAATTAGACATACTCTTCTCTATATACTATACTGTAAATTATGCAAGGTTGCTATATAATATTAATTTTGACAGTATGTTATGGTCAAAACAGTTGGAAGAAAGGCTGTCATAGATGAGGGCCACACTTTTACCAAGGCCCACCCTGTGAATCACACTGATAATTCCTTGGGGAATGTTAGTTAAAAAGGTCCTACCCTGTAACAACAGAGGACACACAACTTATTCTTGTTCCTGTCCACAAAGGAGTGGTAATTTTTAAGCTTTAAAACAAGAGTAGGAGGGGCCATTGAGGAAGAATGGCTGGGAGGTTTAAAGAGCCAGAGGTCAGGAAGGACGAGAGAAACTGTCATGGAACACCACAGGTTCTCTGTGCTTATGGGCACATAGTAGCTGTGGCTGCCTGCAAAGAGCCTGCACAGGATCCACCCGTGGAGACACGATTGACAGGCTTGGCTAGGGGTGGGGCAGAGAGTCTGGGTTTTGTTTTTGTAAGGGTGTGGTGATCAAGGGGTGATGGATGGCCCCTCACTCAGGAATATAGAGGTGGCAAAAATAGTACTCAGTGAGATATTTTTTAAAAAAAACATGACAGGAATTTTAGAGTGAGTGGGAAGGTGAGAGTGGATCTGAGAGGAGTAGGGGTGACTGAAGTCAAAATACACTGTATAAAACTCTCAAACATTAATATATTGTATGAAAAGGACAACCTGACGTAGGTGACTGTTTAGCTTTCAGGTGAGACCTGCCTTTGATGTGGCTTCTGCCTTTGATGTGGCTTCTTTGATCCATGACAAAGGATCAATATGTAGTGTCATTGATGATACTCAAGCAGAAAACAGAACTTTCAGCTCGCCCAGCAACAGTATTCTTAGAATTTGAAGCCACAACTTCCCCTCAAAAGAATATCTTTGTCTGGGGTAAACGTGTCATTTCCCACTACCTCATAAGTTAAGACTGTCACTGATGTGTTTGGAAGGGACTTCGAGAACACACTGAGCCCCCTCCCCCAGCACCCCACCCCCCATGTCATTTCTGTGGAAGTTTCCATTCAATATAAGTCAAGCTAGATTTCAACCCCCACTTTGGAAAATATTTGGGATTTACCCTCTTTGCTATTCCATTTTATTCTTTTCTTTTAAAACACGGTGAATAATAAGGCAATTTAATCGATCATTTTATCTATTGAATATAATAAAGGCTTTATTCTTTATTACAAAAAGCATTATTTTAAGTTAGCAGTGCTCATTTAAAGACTCTCATGTCTGGAACTTTGTGAATGGGAATCAGTGGAAATGTTTAACTTTTTTTGCCATAGAGATCCCTATGTGACAATTTTCTGTGTGAATCTAACACTGTAACTATTTTATATTCCTTTTTATAGACAGCTTTCTGTCCAGGAGATGAAGCAAGACAGTAGCAAAAATACTTGGAGAAGTGTGAGAGACTGAAAGGCTATGCACTGTAACAGGGCTTCATTTTACGTTATGCTCATGGGTCTGTGGATATGTGCACCTGTGAGTGAAGGTGCCCTGGGAGGCTTAGCTGGACCAGGTCCCCTGGGGCTGGAGCTACAGTGGTAAGCTACCCCACAGGGTGCTGAGCCATCACTCTAGCCCCAAGAGACGGACTGTTTTACACTTCTTCCTTTTAGTTTTATTGTAGAGTGAGCTTCTAAAATTAACTGTTAAAGTTGAGTATGTGAGTTGATGATGTATACAGATTTCTTCTCTCTTTTCCATCCTTCTGTCTTTCTTTTCCTCTTTTCCCTCCCCCTTCCCTTCCTCCTCCCTACCTCTTCCCCCTCTCCCCTCCCTTTCTTCTTTCATGCTGTAGTTGGGATCAAACCCGAGCTTGACACACGCTGGACAAGTATGCTATTCCCCAGGTAAAAATTTCCTAGTTCTAAACTTACTTAACTTCCCACTTGTGCAAAATGATAACTTTCTTGTACATATTGTAGGGTATTCAAAAATAAACAACATAAATCTATCAATAAAATTAGAATTTTAAAATGAGAAGAAATAGGGTAAAATAGTTGAAAAGCTTTGGTGCAAGATTCTATATCCTTTTGTTTATTTTTTTGAAGACTTGTTTTAAATTATGTATACACGTGGGTTAGTATATTCACATGTGAGTGCAGGTGCTTTCAGAGTCCAGAAGAGGGCGTTAGATGCTCAGGAACTGGAATTATAGACAGTTGTGAGCTGGCTGACACAGGAGCTGAGAATCAAATTCAGGTCCTCTTCAGGTGCTCTTGACTGCTGAGCCATCTCTCGAATCCTGGTCTTATATCCTTTTAAAACAACTATATATTTTGCGTTTTATATATAAAGTGTTATCTATCTATCTATCTATCTATCTATCTATCTATCTAGTGGGTATAAAGATCCCTGGTTCTGGCTAGTTCTGGCTCCTCTGTTCATGAGTGGTGTGCCCTTGTGTGAGGTGTTTGTTACTCCTGCATCATTTTATTCATTTATAAATTGTGGAGCTATATTACTTCTGTGAACCAACACTCACAGGGCCAGTCCCATGCCTGGTTTGCATTGTATATGTGCTGTGTGTGTGCACAAAGGGGAGACTGTGGGCACAAGACCCCAAGAGTCTAGGTTACATCTCCCTCAGGTCTGAACAATGCTACACACCCCTTTGAGCTGAAGTACTCATACTAGAGAGGATGTCTCAGAGTCCCTCTCTTAGCTGACTTGTAAGAAATCCTGATGTTAGGAAGTGACAACGCCTTCTTCCCATTGGGATTCCATTGTGTCATCAAATACCTTCATACTCAAGCCTTCTCGGGCTGTATTCTCTTTCACATTCTCCTAGATCTACTTTTTTCACGGAATTATTTTTGTCTATTTTGGCCCAGGGTTTTGGCCCAGGGTTTTGATTACCAGGGCCAGTGACTATTATGTTAGGCTCGGTTAGTGGGTACCTTAGCATGGTGAAGTCAAAAGGACTGCAGGAAAGGTTGAGAAATGATCACCTCATTTTCAAAACCCCTCCAATACATACAGCAGCCCTAAAAGAAAATGAGATCTGAAATAAGGAATTGACTTTAATTTTAATTCAGAGACCCCAAATTAGTGTGACCATTAAACGCAGTTTTCTTTTTAAAATATGTATTAACCTCATATAAAGCAATTATAACTGAGAACGTTCTTTGGGAATATGAATAAAAGATCAGAAGAGAGGCCACATGCTTCAGAATCCTGCAAGCAAGTCTTGTACGTGCTTTGCGAAAGAGTTTTTGGACCCCTTTGCTCAGGCTGCATCAGTTTATGTAATTCATTTCTTAGAACCTGTCCCAAAGGGATGGCTTCTGTCTGAGCCCAGTGCTGGTTCTCAGAGACTGCAGAAGATAGACCTAAGGAGAGTGGGGTGTGAGTGATGGTGTAGGCTAAAGTACACACTCCTGAGTGATACTGTGTGAAATCTCTGTAGCCTGTGAACGCGACCGTCTATGGACTGACAAAGTGATTTTCATTACGTGGTGGGTTTCAGGTTCTTGGGAGGAGCAGTCCCGGGTTACGTCAGAGGGCCCAAATCCAATGTCAGGTGTCCTATGACTTGTAGGAAAAATCAAAGACTAGACACAGAGGAGTCTGTGTTCTCATGCAGGCAGGCAGGCGTGGTGTGAACACAAACGGAGGAATGGTGGCTGCAGTCAGGAACTGGAAGTGGCAAGGCTGAGAATCCCACCCACTCCTAGACTTCACACTTCAACCTTAGACTGTGGGAGAGTCCGTTTCTGGTGTATAACCACCCAGCTTGTGGTCATTTGTTGGACAGCCACCACGCTCTGGTCAGGCTGAGGGTGGGGGTGGGAGTGGGAGTGGGTAGGGTTGGGTGGCGTGGGAGTAGGGGTAGGGGTGGAGGTGGAGCAAGCATTGGAGAGGAAACTTAGCAAAGTCTCAGATACTGGGTAAAAGGCCTGAATGGTCTGGCAGGTGAACTTGGCTGCTGCAGGGAATACTCTACCCTGGGAGGGATGACAGTCCTATCTTAGATTACCTTAGTTCTCAGTTGCCACCCCTGTAACAGATGTGAGACTCATCTTTCTCCCACAGGTCACAGAGACAGAGTGCTGCATTTGGCCCTGAGTCCAGACCAGACACGCCTACTTTCGGCTGCTGCAGATGGAACAGCGTGTGTGTGGAAGTGCCACTAGTCACCCAACCTGGCCAGTCCTAGGGAGAATAGTGCCACAGGCTTTCCTTCTCCACTAGGTCATTGGGAATGGAAGTTGTGATGTACAACTCTTCCTTGCCTAATTCTTTTTATGCTGGCCTCGCTATACTTCTTCCTATCCCACAGCCCAGGGATCTTTATACCCTTCCTCCTCTTCCCCTTCCCCTCCTCCTTCCCCTTCTTCTTCTTTCCTCCCTCCTCCTTCCCTTTCCTCTTCCCCTTCTTTCCCTTCCTTCCCCCTCCCTTCTCCTTCCCCTCCCCCCTTCCATCTCCCTTTCTAATTTCAGACTATTCTTCAAATTAGTATATAGTTCAGTCTGGCCCCAACTTCCAATCCTTCTGTGTTTACTTTCTGAGAGCTAGGTTTATAGGTGTAAGCCAACATACCTGGCTCTTAAAGAAAAAAAAAATGCCTTCTCATTTATTCTTCCCATAAAACAAAACAAAAACCTTAACTATTATAGAGCAGGGTAGTGCATATTCCAGAGAAATTAGAATTCTCTTGCCAAGTTCATGTTAATTTGCCAGTTAGTTTTCTTGTCTTCTTTTAAATGAGTTTAGTAATTCCTTCTTTAGAAAAATTTAGAGCATCTAAAACTGCAAATCTCTCTTTCTGCCTCTGTATCTCTGTCTTCTCTCTCTGTCTCTCTGTTTCCCTCTCTCTCTGACTCACACACACACACACACACACACACAAACATGACAGTTTCAAGTGTCCTCCGTCATTCCATTTTAGGCTTTCTGTTTTAACAGTATTATGAGAGTGTCATGATCAAAGTTCATTTCTACAATTATTATTGTTATATGAGCGAATGGACCTAATTTAAGAAAAAAATCAACATATTTCTGATATTAATTTTAGTGGAAAGTTTGGGATATTATTTTTATAAAGAAATTAGTAAAAGTCTAGACAAGACACAAAATAGAAGCCTTGAGTACAACCATCTTAAATTTTGTGCTACAAAACTTCAAGTCTATAAATCTTAACAGATAGCTGGGTACATTTTTGGTTCATGGATAGATAGCTGTGAGTACCATCCAGATTAAGATACGAATGTTTCTGCTATCCTAAACTGTTCTCTTGTGCCTGGCG